ACTGTTGTCTTTTGTGTTATTTAAATCTTGTTGTAGAAATGCATGTTTTTCACATATACCATCAAACTGACGTTTAATTTCTTGTCGATGTTGTAAAGAATGTTCTTCACAAAACATTAGTTCACATCCGACGCACATGATAACACCTTGACGGCCTTTCTCATTCTTTGATTGTTTACAAGTGATGCATTCTCTTGAGCTTTTTATTCGTGGTAGAGCTGCTGCCATGCTTCGAAAATAATGAAATGGCCCAGTTTGTTCTTCTTCGTACACAGCACACACTTCTTTATCTGAAGCTTTTTTCTTCAATAAAAGCAAAAAAATATTATGTTATTCTCTACTAATAACACAAGTTTTATTTCTTCTACACAAGCATAATTCTTCACGTTGTTTTTCTCTCAATATTTACTTTTCTCCAATGTATTCACACATCATATTTTTATTCCTTTCTGTTTCTATAGCACTGTTTGCATGCAAGGGCCATTAAAAATAAAATTTCTACATATGGGACTTGCACCTACCATTTCGATAAAAATTTCGATACAAAAATTGTTCCAAAAGTGTTTTATATGTTGCTAGGAAGACTAATACAAAGTATCATAAAATATGGATTTCGGCTGTATTCCTACCTTTTGTGATTCAGAAAAAAACTTGGTAGGTTTTTACAGGCCAAAAATCGAAGTTCTTTTAGAAAGATATTGAAAAATTTTCAAATATTCTAGGCTTTGATGTAGAAAGACGTGTACACTTTCCCACCTTGGTTGCTGAAAATATTTTATACATTTTTATAAGGTTGTTAGATAAAAGAGCTCATCCGATGGAGATTTTAGAAGCGTTAGCTTGAACGGTAGACTAGTAGCACAATGTTGCATCTTTTCCTTTTCTGATGCAACCAGCAGAGGTGGTTGCAATGACTGTCCAATTACTCAGTTATGAATACAACTCTTTGTTTGAATCTTTTAAGAAATAAGCGTTTTGATTTTTGTAATATGAATAGCGATAGTGGTAGTGTCTGTCCGTCCGCGTATACCGACACAGTCAGTCTTGAGAATGATACTTTTACTGGTGGGGAATTTCTATCTATAATTCTATGCTATAATTCTACTCAAAGTACCATACAAGTCTATGGGACAAGCAGAAATAATAAGTAGTAGTCATAGGAAGAAAAGCGTAATGTCGTAATGGCAACTATTTCTCAGTTCTCTCGCCAACAATAAAATCTTTTAAAACCAAACTGAGGCAGCACCTACAACTGTAAAAGGGGATAAAGAAAAAAAATGGGATAAAAAGGTGGCAGTTTTTATAGATGTTTAAAACCTTTTTTGCTTCCTGACAATTTTTATGTGTAGGTTCAATTTTTATATTGTAAAACTAAAGTTTACTCATTGCTGTTATCGAAATAAAAATCAATCAACCAAATTCTCTACACTATCAAGGGTATATTCAAGTTTCTAACTATTGCAGGTAATATGTCTAACTATTACAGTCGCAAACAACAGATTTCGCTGGCACCATCATCGTCTTCTGACAATTCATAGTGATGATGATACAGAAAGTTCAGAAAGACGTCAAAGCCAAAAAAGAAAGAACCAGAACAAAATAAGACAGCACCTAATCAAAGACCAATTTTACAGTCTGATTCCGGTAATAAGGATGAGGATATTAATTTTAACCGGAGAGATATAACATCACAATCCCGAAAGAAGAAAAGAACAAAAGAAAATTTTCTAGTTCGTCTTGGTCAGATACGACTGAACGAGCAGCAACTTTGCAAGTCACTGTGAATGACTCAATTAGCCATTTTAGTAGTAAGACAAATGAACAACCGAAGGCATTTTTACATGAATATCAACAAACGACCTCTGTCATGGTCGCCTCTGTCATTAATGCACTCATTGCTTTCACTACACCCGTGGAAACAGATGCAGCCTTAGATCTTACTGATGCGGCTGATGGTACTGATTTTGGTGAAATATTATGTTCTGTATGTACTCTCGGCTCGTCAACTTCTAATGCTGAAAGATCACGATCTGTAGAGGTACTCGAGTGAACCTCTATCTTTTTGTCCTTATTCAAAATTGTTTCTCTACACATATCAAATTCTCGTAACGAAAAACTATTATCGAAACCAAAATGAGACACGGATTTACAACACCTTGAGCAGACTTGAAATCGGATTGGTAACGGATTGGCCGTAAAAGGCGGTTCCAATTAAACTTCTAAATCGCCGATTCAACTCGACTGCATTTTTTTTAAGCGTTTTTACCCTGCAACATTCCTTTTGTTTCAGAGTTTAATAACTCACTATTGGTACATTTATCATCATTATTGCTATTACAATGTTCTACGCGAATATTAGGTCGTACAGAATGATTAAATTTATTATACGCAGTTTCTGGAGTAGTATCAAGAGTTGCAATCTGTATTTGTCCATAACCAGCTAAAGCAAAAAAACAGTGGTTTCACACGGAAAAGACCGTTGGGACAGTAGAGTAAATATTTATCATTTGTAGCAGTTGCACCGAATGTACAATTAATAGAAACTTTATCAATCGTTTTATCAATCAGTATTTAGAAAACTAAAAAAAAAAGTTGTGCAATGGACTCGATGTTAGATACTGGAGTGCTCGATACTCGACATTACTCGATACTCGACATTACTCGATACTCGACATTACTCGATACTCGACATTACTCGATACTCGACATTACTCGATACTCGACATTACTCGATACTCGACATTACTCGATACTCGACATTACTCGATACTCGACATTACTCGATACTCGACATNCTCGATACTCGACATTACTCGATACTCGACATTACTCGATACTCGACATTACTCGATACTCGACATTACTCGATACTTGACTACCTGATAGTCGGCAAATATTTTCCCTTATTTTTTAATGAATAAAAAGGTATGGTCATGTGGCAGTCTGACGGACGTACATACACAGATCCACTCACGAGGGCCACGGACATATATCCACGTGGGTACTTTGCGTGCGGATTTTCTCTGGAATTGGAGAAGTGTGTTTACACCTATCCTGGCTTCAGAGTTCAGAAATAGTTTTATATCTCTGGGTTCCTTGGGTGGCTCTCGAGAAAACTGTTATAGATTTTAACTAGATTTTGAAGCTGAGACATCAAATTAGGGAAACATTCGTAACGCGTTGGAGGTAGTCCGGAACGAAGACCGACCGAACGGAGGTGTGTGCGTTCTGTTTTATTGAAAGTCATGGAGGGTCGTTAGCAGATATAAGTTCGTAAAGAACTTGACTTGTATTACATACTTGGCTTCGAAACACGTACTGACTCCGATAAACTGTTCACACCCATGAAAAGCTATGGCAACCGGTTCTGTAACTAATTTGAAAAATATGAACGGTCTTATCGTAAAATATAAACCTGAATTCTGTAGTAGGACGATCGAGTTAGAACAGAATGAGTAATATTCCCGAGTGTACACTCATTTGACTTATATGCAATGGATTTAGTGAATCGATGCGATTTATGTTATTTATTACACAACTGCATTGGATGAGGTGCTGCCGCTGAATTGTATCGCAACTATACTCCTTGGTCGCTCAACTTTTAGGAAAGCTGACTCCGAGAGAAATTTTGAATTGAGTTCTTCACGATCATATTCTCTTAGACTATTTCTCTCTACCTATTTATGATGTGTTGTTCTCGTAGTTATTCGCATGGTCTACGATTATTTGTGGAATCATCTCTCACTGATGGAGATTCTCAAAATTAGATTAGGAATATTCATAAATGAATCCTTTCATACGTATTATTCTTATTACTGATATATATTGAATCAGAAATCGATCACAGCGGAACAAATAATATAAATTACATAATTACAAATACAAGTAATATCTTACAAAGACAATAAAACTATCCATCAGTCATTGAATTCGCCCGTCAATCTCTCTGAGACTTGTTCGAATTTGAGTTCGAACTTCTCTTCTCCACGATATTTCTGCGTCTGAACAAACCATTTACCCTCGAATTGATCATGATCCGAATTCCAACATAATTGTAGGGTCACCGTATGTCCGAAGTTCTGTGTAGGATCACCCGTTCCTTCTTTGTATCGCTTTGTTAGACCTATTCGACCGTTTTGCTGAGAAAAAATGCCGTCTATAGTAAATTCACCAATGTTATCCATTCCTTGACCAATCACTGTGGACGTTGCTTGATCGAACGAGAGTGAAAATAGATGAGGTCCATGCCATGTATTGTATTGATAATATCGACTAGACCAGGTACCGGTCTTGAAATAGTCTTTTTCACATAATCTATCCGTCTCAGCGTTTTCATGCACAAATGCTTCATTCGTTTTTGATGGTCCGCCTGTGTCTCGACAACAAGACAAAACGACGCAGATGGCGATGGAAATAAAAGCTATCACGCCGAAAATTATACTAAACTTAATGGCAACTGAGCGTATACAGCTCTTACTAGTACAACCACTTCTGCTACTCGACCCTATAATCGATACGACAAAGATGAATCATTTGCTGTCTATTAAGAGGCAGTGCACGATAGAAACGCACTTTTTGTGCATAGCGTGCTCAATGAACTATTAAAAACTTTTGTCAAATATTTAGAGCAGATAGAGAAATGTATCTTGAACATTTTTGTCTCGTAACATTTTTTCCAAAGTGCTTTCCCTCGACGCTAGAGCGCTTGCAAAAACGATCGTAAAATGCGAAAAAAAGCGATTTTCCAGTCGAACATTTTCCTTACGCTATAATTCCATTAAAAACCAAATAGTAATGACCTTAAATTTTTACCAGAGCTGTCTTGGTATGAGTACTATTCATAATAAAAATTTGAACTTGTTTGAGTTAAGCGTGCTCAAGAAATAGTTTACTCTTTAGACATACACAAAACGCCATCGGCCGTTTTTCAAAGAGGTTTTCGCAACCGAAGATAGTCCCTTTGAAGGGCTCTCCACGGTTTCATGAGGTAGACCCAGAGTACTACCATGAACCGTCGTCAAAAGGACGAGAACTAGAAAGAGAATTTTATGCAAATTCTAAATATCACCTTATTCCTGAATGATGACCTTTCATTCACTCTGTGGTCGCAGTTTACCAAGTTTTAAAATTATATAATTCTAAGAGTTGATGAAAATCTGATATCTTATATCTGCCTTCCCCCTGCGCGAGGTCCTGAACCGCTAGGCCGCTAGTACGACTCGTAAAAATAATCAGGGACCGTCCTACGCTCTTTTTTTGCAATTTAACTTGCAGACCATCAGGCCACCAGCCAATCGAATTTTTTTGCAAGGTGACTTCCAAATTAGCAGAGCACCAGCCGACCAGATCACCACAGAAAAGACATAGTTTCGTAAATATTTTCTCGGATAAATTGAACTTTTTGCAAGTGATAACCTTGCAAGTTCTCTGTTCGACTGGAAAATCGCTTTTTTTCGCATTTTACAATCGTTTTTGCAAGCGCTCTAGCGTTGAGGGAAAGCACTTTGGAAAAAATGTTACGAGACAAAAATGTTCAGGATACATTTCTCTATCTGCTCCAAATATTTGACACAAATTTGTGCAAGTTCATTCAGCAACTTAGTTCGTCCCTATCGTGCACTGCCTCTTAAGGATAATCAACAGTGGGACAGAAATCGTTAAATGGCGATTATGCTTCTTTCACAAGGATTTTGCTAAGAAACTCTGCATGACCTCTTCCAGCTGACCATAAAACCCCGAGATATAAATGTTCCCGGTAATGAAATTTCCACACGAGAATTATGAAGAATATAGAAGACATTATACATTCTCTATGAGAATTTTGATATACTCAGAGCCATTTTCTTGTCTAGAACACGAGAATAATGTATTTACACGATAGTTATCCTCTTTTGTGTGAAAATTATGCAGAATAGAGATATTATGCTTTCTGCTTTAGATATATTTATAGCCA